TAGTGGGAACAGATTATTTCAGGCGGCTAAAATATTTTGTTCCCCGCTCCTAACTTTGGCAAATAAAGAGCAAATGTTATTAAATCACAGGATTTACTGTTGATAATGAGATGATTAAACATAGTTAAAGACTTGCAGGTAAATTACTTTGTTTCCATTTTATGTAGGGGGAACAGATTATTTCAGGCGGCTAAAATATTTTGTTCCCCCCTCCTAACTTTGGCAAATAAAAAGCAAATGTTATCAAAATCACAGGATTTGTTGTTGATGAAGAGAGTTGATTATGAAAGGATTAAACACAGTTAAAGATTTGCAAGTAAATTAATTTATTTCCATTTTATAGAGGGGGAACAGATTATTTCAGGCTGCTGAAATATCCATTCTCTCCTCTCCTCCCCCAATAACTTTGGCAAATAAAAAGCAACTGTTTCCAAATTCTCAAAAATTTTATGTGTGATAGCATACTAGACATTTCCTTAATCCAGTAATCTGTCATATTTTACATTAGAACGGGATTTACCAAAAAGTCTACACTCTGATCTTTTCAGGAAGTCTTTATTTTTGTGCCCTGCCATCAGCCAACTTCCCTCCTCTTGTATCAGAAATGAAAAATTATAAATGCACACTATGTGTTGGAAACCTGTGTTTGTTGACTGATTTTTATTTGTCAGGCTTGAGACAAAAGTTGAAAAAAGGTCGATTTCCTTCGCGTTTAAAATAACACAAAACAGCGTAAAAAGACCTCCACACAAGACCTCGTTTATTTATTTATTTATTTTATTTTGATAGCTGCCGATTAAACTGAAAGTTACAACACCGACATGATTATATGAGTAGTTTTTACCGAGAAATCGATCAGAAGCGCCATGAAAATGGTCAGATCCGCTGGATCCATCTCTCTGGCTACAATGCGCGCTCCTGACACAGGGGGAACAGATTTTCACAGGGGAACAGAATTTCGCACAAGACCGGAAGTGGAAGTCGAGTCACATTATATTTAATGTAAGAAATGTTTAATGTTTGGCTGCTGAGACTTCAGAGGACAGAGAAGCAGCTCCAGATTCTGCCAGGATGAGTGAAAAATGAAAAGTAGTAATGAGACTTGGACCTTTGCATGCAGACTAACATTCAACTGAATGTTTTTCTCCTAAAGTCAGTTTGAAGTGTTCAGGGTTTCCTTCATGGAGGGGGGACAGTTCTGAGACAGAGACAAGAGGGAATACATGATTGGGGAGAGCAGTAATGAGACGGGAGGACATGCCGGGATGGCCAGATAAATGAGGGAGGTGAGCAAAGATCAGAGCTAAAGAGTGCAGAGAGTCGAAGAGTTAGGGAGGAAAAAGAGCTGCGGTGGTAGAGAAATGGGAGCAGAGGATGAAAAAACGTTAGCGAGGGAAAACAGGGCAGCCCTGTGCGCTCAGTGGGACAGGGTTCATTAACGCCCCCCCACCACAGGCTCTGGCTGCCGAACTAATGACGGGTGAATTCAGACGGGCTGCAGCAGAGGGCAAACCCATCACACACCAGATGTGTGTGATGGGTTTGCCAAAAGTAACACTCTGATGGAGAAGAGGCTGTGAACAAACAACCTGCAGTTTATTTTACTGGGATATTAATAGACAGAGCGACACAAAGCAGGACAATATCAGTAAGTGAGTAGTCAGTTTCCAATCTAGCACTGCATCTCACTGTGAATGCACTCCCATTATGAAACAAGGTGGTGGCAGCATCATGCTTTGGGCATGCTGTCCATCAGGTCTGTCAGAGGTTCAGTTATTCGCCAAACTTAAAATGCTCCCTGTCCAGACAGACCCAGAAGTGTGTTGTCTGCTGCATGTGGCTTCAGTACAGTAACGGTTGTAACGTGTTTTGGAAATTTCATGGAATATTAGTCACTGTATTTTCAAACCTGCTTCGTAAAACAAAATATTCTCAGATCAAACTAGAAAAGGAGTGATTAAAAGTGTTGTAAATTCTCTGATACTTTCCTTCCTCATGATGGTAAATGTGTGTCTGCTTAGGTCCAACGTGTGCTGACCTCCATGACCCCTGCAAACACAGCAAGTGCCACCGGACATCGCAGTGCAAGGCGCTGCCTGAAGGGGGCTATAAATGCGAGTGTCCCATGGGGCGAGAAGGAAAGCACTGTGAGAGAGGTAATGTACTGCAGCTAGCATCTTTCTTCTCTATGCGTGTTCGCTGACGTTTCCTCTCGTCTTTGATTGAATGGAAAGCATGAAAGGTCCAAACCTGCTGGCGTTGGGGCAATGTGAGGGCTGCTGCGCTGTGCTGCAGAGCCGTGGTGGATGATTGGCCCCGTTGGGCCGTTCGCCACATCCACTCCAGTACGCTTGTTAGTGAGGAAGCAGAGATGCTCCGTTCCTCCCTGCCTGCCGCCCACAGGTGTTGTTCTCCAGCTTGTTGTTGGTGTGTAGCTCCACATGGCAGAGCGGCCTGCTGCTGGGACCGCACAGCGCTGCCGCTGCCTTTGAAGTTCATGATTAGAAGTTTGGGCAGTGTCGTATTGTGAAGTTTACTTATGTTCTTCCCTCCCTGACTTTGTAGATGCTGTTATGAATGCTGCAAATTAAGGAGAATATGCTGTCATGCTCTCTCCAAACTAAGGAGAATCCAGCCACCAGCCTCTGGG